GGAAATGAAAATGAGTTAGCAGAACTCCCGGTTTTTTGTGATGGAAAATTAGGAAATGTAATGGAAATTGAAAAATAAGAAAATGGTGTGTAAGGGCAGTTAAGTCTTTTCAAAAGGCCAAATGGCTAGATTTCATGTTTTTACAAAAGATGGCTATATTTGATCTTTTGTTTTGTTTAAGTGCTATTATCACTAATTATTATTCATCTTCTATTTTTGTTCATCTTTTCCAACTTATTCCCAAGTAATATTCGGGAGGCAGAAATGTTCTTCGGTTTCCCAAATCCACCCGCCACCACTCGAACAGCCAGCAACGACCTCTTCGCCGCCGTGGATATCGGCACTAACTCTTTCAAACTGACAGTCATCCGCACCGATCCCTCTTCCGGCCGATTTCTCACCCTCAATCGCCTCAAAGAACCGGTCCTGCTCGGCCTCGACACCACCACTACCACTGCATCCGCCTCCACCATCTCCGCCGAGTCTCTTGACCGCGGGATCTCCGCTATCCGTAAATTCCAGATTTTTCTCTCCTCACAGCGTCTCCCTTCTCTGCATCTCCGTCTCGTCGCCACATCCGCAGTCCGCGAAGCCTCTAACAAATCCCAATTCACAACAGCGGTCAAGGACGCCCTGGGTCTCCACGTGGATATCATCTCCGGCACCGAAGAGGCTCGCCTCATTTACCTCGGTGTGCTGCAGTTCTTCCCGGTTTTCACCTCCACGGTGCTGACGATCGATATTGGTGGCGGCTCTACAGAGTTCACCGTGGGGTTTAAGGGGAATGTGTTGTTTTCTAAATCCTTAAGATTAGGACACGTCACCTTAACTCAACAATTCAGTGATGTTGCGAAAATGAGAGAGCACATCCAGAACGAGCTGGAAACCTCCGGCTTGGTTGAGAAAATTAATGGGTTCAATATAGATGTCGCAATAGGTTCGTCTGGTACGATCAAGGCTATTGATAAGGCCGTGTGCAGAGGCTATGCTCTCAAGGTGGAGGAAAATATCGGGCCTTTTGAGGAACACGTGAGAAGGGAGTGGAGGTTTACTAGGGATGAACTGAGGTGTTTAGTGGACAGGTTGTGTGATGATGATAGGGAAATGGTGGGGAAAGTGAAGAGGGAGGAATTTTTCAAAAGGCGGGCTGCCTTCATTATTGCTGGAGCTGTTTTACTAGATGAGATATTTAAGATTCTTGCCATAGAGACAATGGATGTCTCGGGTTATGCATTAGGAGAAGGGGTGATTGCAGAGATGTTGGGGCATTCTTTCGAGGGTTATGATCTGAACACGAACGCGAGATGGAGGTCTGTTTTCAGACTGGCTTCGAGGTTCAACAATAAGAAGAGGATGAAGGCTGCCACCACGTGTCTCGCAGTTGCAAGGGTAATGATCGTGAGCAATTTGAATTGAAATCTTGGACCTGTTGCCATTGTTAATATCTTCTTTTGCTATTGTTTATTGAGTTTGGATAGTGCAGGAGATTTTTGGAGGCTTGGAGAAATGGAAAGGGTTCCGCTATGGAGGGAGTCATGAAGATGGGCTTTCGGCAACGTTGGATGATAGGGATCTCGAGTATCTTGATGCTGCTTGTTTGCTCCACAATATTGGCCTATATGCTGGCAAGAAGGGCTATCATAAGCAGTCTTATAGCCTTATCCTGGTAGATCTTTGTTCAGAGTTGTTGCAGTGTTCTGATTAATTGATTGTATCTGCGTCTTGGAACATTTTTACAAATACTCAAATAAAATGTCACTGATGGTCTTCTAAAAATCTTATCACCATAAATTTTCACTGGTAGTTTCATGAGTTCTTTGAAACACTTTTTGGTTCGCTAATTTTGCATAGCTGGCTTAATATTTCAGAATGGGGATCACCTCCATGGTTATTCTGGGGAAGAGACTAAGGTGTGGTGTTTTCTTGAATCTTTCATGGAAATAGAATTTTTCAAGGTTTTGAATATCAGTGACAGTTTTAAGCTTCCAGCTAATAGCAATGCTTGTAAGATACCATAGAAAGAAGCTACCAAAGCAGGGTGTTCTCAAAGGATCTGCAGAAGAGGTATCCAAGATTCTAAAATGATAGAATGTTTACCCTTTTCATTCCTGATACACATTTGTATTAATTGAATTGTAGGCAAAGCTGAAATTCAGAATCCTCTGTACAATTATGCGGGTCTCTTGTGCAGTGCAGCAATGTCTTCCTGTGAATTTTCAGTTCGTGGAATTTTCATGTTCTCCTGAAGGTTTCAAATTGGTGAGCTAAACCTCTGTTTAGATAAATCTTGATTCAGGCTCTTACTTATTCTTTCTTGTGTTTGAACTTTGAACTTTCCTTTTTGTGAGTAGTAAAGTTATAAATTCTTGAATATCAGAACACACATGTTAAACATATCAAGATAGAGTTAGATGGATAAGTTTAATTAACTCGATGGCTGAAAATAAATTTAGTGCATTTAATGCTGCCTATAAGGAATTTCTAAGCATTTCCGATCAATTATGCCATTCTTTGGGTAAGGACGGTAAGATGTCGTTTGAGATTGTTCAGATAATATCACTAATTTAATTCAGAGGGATAATCGTTTTTTTATGTAGTGCCTCCTAATGTGCATGTTGTGCCAGTACAATTTCATTTGGTTAGGATCATCAAAGACAATGTTCATGCCATTAAAAACATGGCAAGAAATCTTGACATATAATTCTTTGAAGAAGTTACTTGAGCAATTAGTTAATATGTTTCTATTCGTGTCTGCTGCTAGGAGATTCTGAAGAAAAAAGAAAAAAAAAAAAAAATTAAAGGTGAACATGGATTGTTTAAAGCATTCACAATGCATTAGGTCTCTTCAAAAAGTCATGTACGAAAAAGACCCGATGTAAGAAAGATGTTCTCCAATACAATTAAGAGTGTACATGGCCTAGCTCATGTGGCAGTTAAAAACAAAAAAAGGAGATACCCGGCTTAATCATAAGTCTACCTTTTGACATGAGCCTCCCGGTCTCTTTGCATTGGAATGATTTTGGCTCTTCCTACTTGGTTCTATCCATGTCATCCAAGACTTAAATCCATTTATGTGCCATGTAAACAAAATTGGACTCAAAGCATTGTGGATGCTTTTACAGTTATGGTATGGTGGTAACTGCACTGACACAGAGAACTTTTCAGGTACTCTATGTGGGTGATCCAAGAAATCTATCTCTGGACACTGTGCAGCCATTAGCAGGGAATATCAATTTGTTGATGGAGAAGGAATTGGATCACTTTAGGATGGTAAGCATATTCTTGTTAGATGGTTTAAATTGAGACATTATTGGCATTTATACATTTCTTTTTACAGGTATTCAAACAAAATTTGCATATTTTGGTTTCTTCAGTCGTTTCTTGATGTGCAAATTGCTGACTGAAGCAATGAGTCTGCTTAATAGTAGGTTTTGTCGGATGGATTGAATAGAATATGGATCCATCAGTATATTCACCATATCTTCCTAAAGTTTGTACTATTGGAGTAATTTGTTATTTTTCATTATAATGTAATTATTAATTTTTTTTATCGGTAAATTAAAGATATATAGATCAAAAATGGTGCTACAACGACCGTCAAACGGCAAACAAAAAGCCTAGTGGGTAACAATGTACTTGGTTCCTCAATCGCTAATCAAAATAATGGGAGGCGAAAACCCTTATAAAACTTCAAATAAGGGTCCAAATGGAGGCAATCCCACGGGTTTTCCTCTCCATTTCGGCAAGAACATTCGGATACATCGAAAATATAGTACAATAAACATGAGTTTTGATCATGGTTTTCAAAACCGAACCGGTCATCGAACCGGTGAAGTTACTGGTTTAATGGTTCACTGGTCGGACCAGTGGTCGAACCGTTTTAATTAATATATAATTTTTTATTTATTTTATATGTATAACATATAATTATATATATATTTATCATTAATTTTATTAATTTTATAGTGTATGGCATTTCTCTGAATAATAACTCAATAATACATACAACAAATAATGTTGATTAATGTCTATAAGTAATTTTGAAAATGACAAATGAATTGGGCCAAACATAAAAATACACTTTCCCACTAGTCTTTTTAGTTTGTAGTGCCCAATTGAGAGTGTGGTGGGCTTCAAATAAGGCCCATTTCCTTCAAATCATCCTGGCCTAGCTTTTCTCCCATGTCTTTGTCCCACATTGGAAGTGGAATGCAATGCAACTGTATATTTAACATAGAACTAAGGCAACAAGTGTCTTTGTCCCGGTTTGCTGGTTTTACCGGTTTTTAACCGGTTGGAACGGTTTTTGACCGGTTTTTGGCACAGGCGGTTACGCACATAAAACCGGACCGGAGTGCTAGCCGGTTCCCGATTAAACCGGGCGGTCCGGTCCGGTTTTGACAACCTTGGTTTTGATCTTACGAATCACAAGGCTCTTAGGTTGAGTTTCATTTTCAAAAACTAACCTATTACGGGCATTCCAAATGAAGTAGACAGTAGTAGCAAGTGCCGCTTTCTTCAACTTGGCTTGCTAATTATTATATCAGTGTATCTTGCAGAGAAAAAAACCATCTTTTGTAATGTTTGATTTTCTCATTTTATCCGTGTGTCATTTTTAATTTGCCTTAGTTTTCATTCTTGAAGACACTGTAGTTCCATTTTCCATATGTGGATTCACTCAGCTTCTGTCTGTATGTATGGCACTTGATTTTTTGGTAGTCCCATTCCATTTGTGGATTCACTCAGCTTCTGACTGTATGTATGGCACTTAATTTTTTGGTAGTCCCATCTCATTTGTGGATTCACTCAGCTTCTGTCTATGTGTGGCACTTGATGTTTTGGCATTGCATTACAATAATGAATTTCTGAACATTGCACTACAATAATGAATTTTTGAACTTTTTGAATTGAAAGTTTCAATTTGAAGTCAATCTCAATCGAAAACTTAATTTTACATTTTAGTTCTCAATTTAAGACCACAACTAACTATATATATTTACTAATTTTATATTTAAACATAATTATGTAAAAACAAATAATATAATTTTGAAATTTATATTTAGAATAATTATCATAAATAATTATATATATCTTTTGTAAAATTACTATAACTTGCTAGAGGACATATTATTTGGGTGAAAGATTTGATTTTGGACAATGGTCATGGGTGGAATGACTGGCATGTTAGGCAAGGTGTTTGATGCAGAGGACAACCAAGATATTCTAAATATTATTAATTCACTCAAATCAGACAAAGCAGACAGATTCTTCTGGGGTCTTGAAAAAAAGGGAGTTTTCACTGTCAAGCACCGGAATCGGGAAAGCTGGAAACCGAAAAAGAAGGTTACGTCGGACTGATATAGTAGCTGACCTCTAGGAAAGAAAGCAGTCGTGTCTTGCACAAATGATTATATTTCGAAAAGCTAGGATCCCTTAGTCAGTAATAAAATCATTAAATTCGAATCTCCTCTAACACCTGTGGAAGCATATCGCCTGTAGAGAGCAACTACTGGATCTGGGCGACTTCGTACTCCTTTCTGACTCAACAGAAAGTTCTGAAAATGGATCAACCTATAACAAGTTCTAACTCTGCTAGCATCAGGAAATGCATTTACAGATGTTGGCACTTAAGGTCCATGGTAAGCTTAAACATTTCCTTTGGAAATGTCTTACTAGGACTCTACATGTTGCTGTGAATCTCAGGAAGAGAGGCTCGATGTTGATACCACTTGTAAGTGTTGTGGTGAAGCTCATAAAACTATTGAGCACCTTCTCTTTAACTGCCCTAGAGCAATGCAACTCTGGGAATTAGCTCCCGTCAACTGGGAGGGCATCTCTTCTGCTTCAGACTCTTTTAGCTACTAGTGGCAACATATCAGTTTTGTTGATAAATCAGACACTTCAAAGGCCAGAATTCAATTGACAACCTATATGCTATGGTGGCTCTGGAGATCTAGGAACCTTTGGTTCTTCCAAAACACTTTAATTCCCATCCACATTGCTTGCAGATTGGCTACAAGGAATGGCTGGAGTTCTCTTCCCTTGTTTAGTTTGTTTGATTTAGTTTTTTGGGGTGTGATTTGGTAGTTTGATGTGATTTTTTAGTTGGTTGTTTTGGTAATTGCTTGTGTTTGGGAATTGGGGGTATATGCTAGGTATTGTGGCAGTGGCTAGACTCCTACTTCTTGATTGGTTTTTATGTCTCTTTTGTTTCATTTGTGAGGTTCTAGGCCACTTTGTAAGTGTGCCTCTCTGGTTTTCTGTTTCGGTGGCTATTTGGGGGTCCCCAGTGTATGAACTCTATTTTTCTCTTGAGATATATAGATCCTTCTATCGTTTCGGAAAAAAAAAATTACCCTAGTAAGAAAAATCAATTAATTTAAGCTACATTTATGCAAAAGTTTAATGAAGTTTACTTTTAAATTTTTTTAAAAAATATATTGAAAGCTAAATTTAATAATTTTGAATTTAAATATTTTATTAATTGATATATAAATATATACTAAAATTATTGTGTTTTGTTGTAATTGATATTATTGATTTTTTAGTATATAATATTATTATTTTGAAAGTATTAATGAATAACATTATGATTTATAATAATAATATTTTGAAAATATATTATCTAACCATTATTTTTATTTATTTTTGTTTATAATATATATTTATAAAACAAAATTAAAAAAATAAATTATTTATAGTTAGTCTAATTGTTTTCTAAACTTGCTATTGATGATGCTTGGAACTGTGAAATTGAGATAAACTATCATTAGTGAAGCTTAGAAAAAAAAAAAATAATAATAATAATTATTAAGTAATTTTTCTTTCTAATTTTATTAGAATTTAGATACCAATCAATATAATATTTAAGTTATACATTCTTTAAATTAAATGTTTAATTTTTTAAACTTAAAAAACATATTGCTAAAACTTTTCATGTATGTATCTTATATAATTAATTTCCTTACTAAATTAATTTTACTAAGATATTAATGACTTTTATTGTAAGTATTTATTTTATATATTATTAACTTTCTTCAAAACAAAAATTTTATTGAGTTATAATAGTTTCAATAATTTTGTAGAAAACAAATAAATTATTTTTTTTAAATAGTTTATGTTATAACGTCATTGCATATTTTGATTATTATGTATAATAATATAATATATGCATTATACATTCTTAAAATGCAGTTTTCACCTTAAAAATAAATTTTATTAAGCTTTTGCATAAATTTAAATTATATGGATTAATTTTCTTATAAGGGAATATTAATAAAGATATTTATTTTTTTATTATAAGTATTTAAAATATAAATTTTAAAATAATAGTATATTAGTTTACATACTTTTGTCAAATTATGAAGTTAGTTGGGGCTTAAATTGAGACGCAGAATGTAAAAATAAGTCTTTAAGTGTTAACTTCAAATTGAAAACTTAAATTGATAAAATTGAAAATTCAAGTATCACAAAACAATACCCAAAAATCAAGCTCTACAATAAAGTTTACCCATAAAGCTCGTGGACAAATTATAGGATGACCTAGAATGTTTCATAATCTTGTTTTTATTTATTTAATAACTAGTACAAGCACCCGTGTATTACACGGGTGCTTGTTAAATAATTATTCTTAAATTTTAAAATTAATGAGAAAACTATATTAAATTTAGTTTACTTTTTTATAAAAAAATATATTACTATATATTTTAG